TGGGCATTTAAAAAAAAGGGATGTTTTAGTGCCTTATAATGACATTTTTTAATTGTCTTGAAACTTTGAAAATAAACAATAATTATTACATTTAATGCACTTATAATGCATCATTTTTAATATTATTATTGCTTTTGTAATGGCTGTTATGTAGACATTTTCTTTTGGCTTTAAAATAATTCTTTTCAAATTTCCGATGTTTTTGGTTAATTATGTTCACAGTGCTAGTACTAGCATCGGACACAGAACCACTATGAGTAGTTAGTTCATCGATAGATGTGTCGATAACTTATAGGATCGTAGAATAGAAAAAAGTTGTATGTTCTTCCGACAAACCGCTGTTTCATATCTAATAGTGATGTCTTCAAAACAAACTGACTGTCAAACGAGCAAAAAAAGAGTGTGTTCAATTGCTATGTTAAACGCCTGTTTATTGACATTATTTCAAATGATCTGATAAGTAGCATTTACTGATGAAACTATTTTTATTCTTTGCTGTGCACAGTGGCGTAGCCAAAGGAGGGGTTTAGAGGACACAGGACCCTCCTTAGAAAGGTAACTTGTACTGGAAAGAATAGAGTATAATATCAGCTATCAGCAACATGTGCTTGTTTAGTCTTCTTTTTACTCTAATCCTTCCTGAAGGTATACCTTCAGGGAGACTTAGAGTAAGTAACGATACTATAGTGTCGGAAGTCTGTAAAAAAAAATGGTTCTCTATCGAACTTTTGAAGGTTTATACTTTTGAAACGAATTTGAAACCTTTAAAGGTTTTCTTGGAAAAGGTTTCGTGGCAAACTCGTACTTTTTTATTCAGAAGAAGGTTCGGTGGCGCTCGTTTATCAGGATCTTTAGTTTAGTTTTTTTGGATACTGAACCATAGGTTTAAGAGTCCATTCTAAATTCAGACGATAGAGAATTTCCTGCGGTGCAATACACAATAAATTTTGTATTTACATAGCACTTCGTTATCTAAAAAATAACAAACAATAAAGATAAGTAAAAATGAAAACTGCGACGCTGTTAGAAAGAAGCTGTTAGTCTTGTTTTTGACGATACTTAAGCGCTTTGTAACGCGAAAAAATAAAAGTCAAGTGAGTAGGACATGAATGAAAATCTTCAGCGGTTTTTGGACTACCATTTTGATGAAAATTGCTTTCAAAAGGCATACTATATTGGCCTACAACTTCCTTAATAACCATTTTAAGTTTTGTTGTTGAACAGAAAAAACGGCGAAGCAATGCGACCAGACAATAACTTATGAACGCAAACGGTATTTACAGAATAGAAAATTGCCTATCGTTTGTACTAATAACAAACCCTTAGGACTTTACAACTTATATGATATAAAACTCATCCATCATTTTTGCGATGCCGATCATTAACAAAAAATGATGGAAACAATGTCGCTTTTCCAGTGATAATGAATTGGATAACGACAACATTGTTACACTATGCAGCTCTAATAGGGAGCAAACTGGAATGCCCTTAACTCCATGAGGACGGGAAACACATATATGTGTTTTGGTTCTGAATCAACTCGTAACTGACTTGGAGATGTCTCTTATGATACTGTAATGGCATAAATGCTAGTGGAGGTCATAAATCTCCCACTTCCGATGAATTGTAATACTATCATCTGCAATATGACTTGATTCACCTTCTTTCTTCATATAGTTAGACCCATTACTTCTATGCTCTTTCCTCACATCATCGTTTTTGACATCTTCATACGAGTTCTCTTTCTTCTAGTGCATTCTCGTTCTAACCGTCGCGCGTATATATATATATATATATATATATGTGCATCTTGAAAGTTCTTTCCCATCTCTTCAAGATCGCAAATACAACAAGTAGAACTAAAAAGAGGGTTGACTCTAGATATGAATGCACCGAATGCAACGTCAGACTCTGTGTATCAGGTTGATTTCGAGATTATCACACTCTGGAATACTTTTAGACATTTGCGCTTTACATTGATGTGAATAAATTTCGAACATTGTTTCAGAGTTTCGAAAAACGTCATTTTTTCTAACAGTAACCCCGTCCTCAACGGGTTAAGTAGCGAGAAAGGTCAAATACAAGAAAAATTGAAGTCGGTTCTTGCCATCGCAGCTTTAATCTTTACTTACCTTCATTGTTTGGTATTTTTTAGATAACGAAATACTATGTAAATACCAAAGTTATTGTGTGTTGTACAGCAGCAAATTTTCTATCTTTTGAGCTTAAAATGGAACCTTGAACCTATGCTTCAGTGCCCAAAAATGCCGGTCTCAGTATTCTGCAAATATCTGGCTCAATTTTCATTCTCAAGGCTTTAACATTTTTTAAAGGATTCGTTGTTTCATCCGCTACAAAGAGCATATTAAACATTTTCTTATATACCATACCGTAGAAATAAAAGAATATAGGTGAAATACTGTGAAGTTTCAATTACCATTGCTTTTAAACCCAAAAAACAGTTTTTTAATTCTGCTTCTTTGTATTTTGCGATACAGAATAAGAGAAGATGACCGTTTTGTAGCCCTTGAAAAGTTCTATGAATCGGTTATGTTTAAAGCTCCTCATAATCGCAATTCGTTGCAGAAGTTTTGCTTATATCGACTTTATCAAAAATCACCGTTTTCAAACTACAGTTTTGGTGGCATTTAAGAAAATTTTTATACATCGTGCTGGTATGTCTTATCCTAAAGAAAAATAATTCTTCTGTTACATTCGAACGGAGAAAGTTTGATAACTCCATTTCCTTTCTACTGACAAGGTGAAAAGGTGAAATTTTTCATTTTTTTTGGTAGACTGTAGTAAAATAGCCTTTTGTATCAGAAAAGCATATTTAACGTCAACCCCTGGTACATGAAAAGAAAGACGACACTTCGAGGCACCAAAACATATGTTTTGATTCTACTTTGTTGCATAGTATCATGTTCAGAATAAATATCTTTTCGTTGTGTGCTTGAAAGCAATGGAAATTGAAGTTTCGCAGTATTTCACCTATATCCTTTTATTTCTACGGTATATAAGAAAATGTTCAATATGTTTTTTGTAGAGGATGAAACAACGAATCTTTTAAAAAAAGCCTTGAGAATGAAAATGAAGCAAGATTTTTGCAGAATACTGGGACCGCCATTCTTTATGACCCGTTAGTAAAGGCTAAAGCAAATAAGAAGCGGGTATGCTAGAGGCTATAGACAATAACAATGCAAACGAACAGCTGTATCGTTGTTGTCAGCGGAAAACAAAATGAATGTTGTCAAACAAAGTTTAAACAGATTTTGTGCGTATCTAAATAGGTTTTGTATTGATCTACGAAATCTTCTTGCATTCCCCAAATTAAATACGAAACCTTTACGAGTTTCGTACATTGAGCACAAAACCTTTTGATCTACGAAACTCTTACAGATTCAGTAAATAAACGTGAAACCATTTTCTTTTGGAGAGTAGGCGTTGCATTTTCTAATGGAATAAATAATGATCGGGAATGAAGAAAATTTGAATAGACAAACTTTCACCTTTCTTGCTTTCGTAGCAAGATTAGCAAACAATAAAACACAGTAAAGAATAAAAAACAGACAGATTTATATGTTGACTCAGCTTTTTCTTGTTCTAAAAATGAAATATAATAAAAACAGTTCAAAGATATTCCAGCACTAAGGTAAGGAGTAAAAAGATAATTTTAGAAATAAAAAGTTGTCGACTTAGTTGAAAAAATGGTGGGACCCTCCTTTAAAAAAATCCTGGCTATGCCACTAGTTATGCAACTAAATGCTATTTTTTAGGCAGTTCATCATAGTGGAATAAGTGGCAATTACAGACGACATTAATGATTAGTTTTTTAACAATCTAGTGTCGTTTAAGGACATTTTTAGCTATCGAGTTAATTGTCAGTAGATAAGCTATTAAGTACCTGTTATAATTCACCTGAGTAACTTGTGATAATATCTCCTAGACTGTCTAGAGTCTGACTTATCAAGTTCCTAGAGCATCACAATGATAGAGAAAAAGTTTAGACTATCAAATTCTTCAGATTTTTTCATCATTCGCTCGCAGAAATCAGAACAAAGAAAGATTATCACGTTTTAGAAATACATAAAAAGATTATAAGATTTTCCACAAAACTCTGTTGATATGAGGCGCAAAAATGATAATTTCAAAGAACACGAATAGATTCTCTGCACTTAAAAATAGGATTGCGCTACAATCGGTTTATTTACTGATCTTTATCGAGGTTTTGTACTTGACAATGAACGATACATAGTAACGACAGTAGATCTTAAAATGAATAGAGTATCCTATCTATCGTTAGCACATGGCTTATATCTGATCTGAATGAAATATCGAACAATTTAGAGTATATTTGTGTGCCAGCCATTGTTCAAGGAAGATTCTGAATAAATGTCTCATTTGAAATAGTGTCTTTTGAGTCCTACTATACAGATGTTAGTAATCGAATCGGCTCACAAACTTAATAATATTACTTTTATTCACGAAAAGTGAGAGAGCCATCAAAGGTCACTGACCTGTAATAAATGACTCGAGCCAAACAACACAAACAGAGTAATAAAAAGAACAAAATAAATAAGACAACTAAGGTTAGAACCAGAAATAGTAGAAAAAAGAACAAATTTTATAAAAAAATAATAAATAATAAATAAAAATAAAAAAAATAAAAAGAAGTAAGCAAACAACGGAACAGATATAAATTCTTAACTGACAAATGCTTCACTGGAAGAGGTACTTGTGACTTGAACCAGTGGCATCGGAACTGCTTACCAGCTTCTCAAATTTTGATCCAAATGATTCAAAATTTTTTCTGCAACGTATATTATCAAAGTGCTTCTGCGATGGACATTGCACAAAAAGATAAAAAAACTTTTTGATCCGATCCGATCTGTTCCAGTCTCTAACAGATGTATGACTTTCAGCTGACTAAATTTCATTTATTGATCTATTTAACTTCAGATTAAAAAGGTTTGCTCTTTATTGTTGTGTATTAATCTACAATGTCTCGAATTCCTCCGCAAACAACATCCACATCCATCACTACATTTTCAAATAATACCCCATTATCTGTTTTAACTACTCAACAGCAGCCTAATAATACCAATTACACGGTCGGCGGTCAACAATCTGCAGCAGAAACAGTGAATACTAGTGCTGATAAAACACTCACTGAACATGATTTAAAACGAATGCGAGAATTTGGCAAATTATTTAATCGTCATTCGTCAATAAATCGTGCTTTATTAGAGGAATTATTTCGAAAAGAGCCAAGTGAATATACTCAAACAGTTTATCAATATGCAAGTAGAATATTTCATTGTTTAAAAGCGGATCTCACGGATAATCCAGTTCTAAAAGCATTAACAAATGAGAAAGAACAACAACAAAAGAAAAATATGATATTAGATGTGCCAAAAATTGATTATGCAAATGAAAAAGAAAAACGGCGTACCCTCAAATTAGCATTTAGTGTTTTACGATATCAAAAAGTTGTTGAAGATTTATTAGATGAAACACAATTTTTTTCCTTATTTCCCGATTTAAAAGATGAATATAGCCTTGTATGCACTATCTTGTACGATTATCTGAGCCGAAAATTTCAGATCCGTGACGATCCAGCGGATGAAAATGAGCCAAACAACAATGCCTTGATTACACAAATAGAAAACTCAATATTACAAGAAAAAACACGTCTAGCAGCAGCATTAGCTCGAAATCGAATTAAAGCACAAGCATTATCGATTGAAGAACTATTACCCGAAAGTTTAAGAGAAGTACAACAACATGGCGCTGAATTACCTGTTTACTGCTGGGTGAATTTAATTAAAACTGATATGAATACAGTTCTACAAGTATTTGAAAATGATGAACAAATGACACGAGTTTACAACATCAATGATGTTCAACGAAAGACCTTTATGGTTGATTTTCATTGTCCAAATTTATTAATATTTCATTATTCTCAAAAACATCGTATCTCAAATCATAGATTAGTTAAAGAAGGTCTACTCTATTTACAGGTGAGTGAAAAATAGTAGTTGAGTGTGTGACATTTTTTTCTTTTGTTAAAATTTTAGGATAAATCAAGTTGTATTGCAGCAACTACAGTGACTAAACTTCTTACAAAAAAAGATAATATTCTCGTTGCATATGTTAGCGGTGGTAAATACATCAGACGATGATATAATCTAACGGAAATAGCTTTGTTTACTTTTATAGGTTTACTTGTCCAATTGTTACTTTCCCTAACAAATGAACTGGAATCAAAAATTTATGCATTTGGAGCTCGAACTGATGAAAATCTGCGTGACTTACAAGGAAAAATGAAACAATTCGGTGTTGAAAAACGTATATTTAATAGGATCTTTAACTTTCATAGGTATCAGTTTTAATCGTTTTGTAGGTGTGAAAATTTTCAAAGAACGATTCATCGATGCTAATTTGGATGAGATGAATATGGAAAATATTAAAGTTATTCTATGTAATCCACCATGTTCACGTTCTGCTTTGATTCAACCACTCGAATTTTTGTACAATGAAGGAGAAGGTAGAAACACGTTAACATTTTATTTTAAAGTTAATATTTGAAACAAACAAATTCTTTGTTTTGTAATAAGATAGATGTTTCGTTATTGAAAAATTTTTCACAACCATCAGAAAACAAAGCGTATATCAAAGAATGTGTTCAACGAGAAATGGCCTACATGAGACAAGCTGTCAAATGTAAATGTTTTTGAGCTTTTGAATAATTCTAGTAAAATCTATTCTGTTGTTTTTTTTTATTTTCAGATTCTTCAGCTAAAGCTATTGCATATGTGACTTATTCCAAATCTAGTAAAGAAAATGATGATGTTGTTAACGTAACAATTAATGAACAAGCAGATTTTCGTCAACAAAAGAAAGATACAACTAACTACAAGTAAGAAATTTTGACTTTTTTTCATCAAAATTCTATTATTTTTTGCATTTCAGAATTGTTCCACCTATTGTACCTATTCAAATTGGCATTAATGAGCAGACAACTGTTTTACGTCATGGAAAATTTTTACAATTTGAAGCATCACAAAAAATGAACGGCGTTTTTGTCGCATTATTAATTCGAGAAGTAGGTGTGGCAGATAGTTTTTCTAATATCGATTTGATTCTGTTTTTTTTTTCTAGCATGAAAAACGTCGTATAAAAAAGAAACAAGATATACATAGTTCAGATTCTGAAGTAAATGATGAAAAACAGAAACGAGGAACAAAACATCATGGATTTCAATTAGAAACTGAAGCGCGCGCCAAATTGAGAAAATCGTCAGTAGTTCAAAAGAGTGCACAAACAGCCGCAGTAACAACAACTCGAACATCGACAAGTAAACGAGCAAAATCGGGTATAGCAGCAAAAAGAGACCAAATACAAACAGCATCAACACCATTAGAAAAATCTCAGCTAACATCACAGCAGTCAAAAATTCCAACATTATCGGAACAATTAGCATCGATCGGAAAAATTAAAGGTTTAGATACACCTGCACCAACAGACTAACAACAACAATAACAAAACAAAGACGCAGCACCAAAAGAGTCTGTATACTTTAAATTGTCATGCACACGCGTTTTCTGCTATCATCTATCTTCCACTTACTTTTTTTGTTTATATTTTAAGTTTTATTCATCTGTTACTTTTCTATTGTGTTTTTTTGCACAATTTAGTTATTCTTTAGAATTATTTTGCCTTGGCATGCCGTTTCGTAAAATATTGCCTTACTATGCGAATGTGTACTTTTGAATGTACTTTATAAATATTGCCTTATGCTAATAAATATAAATGGATTATCTATCGAAGGAATATATTTCATTTCTGGACACATAGTTTTACAGAACTGGCATCATATCGACTTGAAAGAACAACGATTTAGTTTATTCAATAGTTTTTATATTATTTTTTCACTTGACTATTAGTCAGAGTCTTACAGAATAAATATCTGTCATAGGTAGCAACAAGCTATTAAAAATTACTTTGATTCGTAATTCGTTTTGCAACCTCAATTTTCGTTGAATCCAATTTCTTACTCTGGCACCTACATATCAATTCAGTCGAGAAATTTTAAAAGCGTATTCGACCAAAACTGATTGCACATTTGGACTCTCCATAGTCGGTTACCTTGCAGACAACAAGTTTTAAATTGACATACTCCAGAAAAGTTTTTCTCCATTGTTTTTCAAAAGAATCTTTTACGAAATTCATAGAAGGGACCAATGGCTGAATGAGACTAAGAAATTCTTTTACAGTACCACCATTCAAAACTTGTTGCGTATAAGGTAACCGGCATTGGAGAGTCCCAATCTGAAATCAGTTATGATCGAACACGCTTTTCAAATTTCACAACTTAATTGAGATGCTTGTATATACAGGCTTTACAGTTTATTCTAATCGATGATATAATTTTTGAGTCGGCAAGACTGTCAATGTCAGAGAATCCTAATATAAGATCTTATAAGATTCTTGTATGATTTCGTAAAATTTTGTAAGAAACATATAAACTGATTCTTGATGTAAGATCTTATCAGATTTTGTAAGATTCTTGTAGGATTTTCCGTAAGATTTTGTAAGATCTTGATCTGATTTTTTGACCTAGGTGACACAACTTCCACTTTCAGGCGAAACAAGAACTCCTTCTTTTGCTTCTTACATTCTAATTCTGCATTCATTCAACTACTTTTTACGATCAATAGTGATTCACCAAGTGATGAACGTTATCTTGTTTCAACAGATCCGTTGATATTGACAAGAAATTGTGTTACTACCAACAGCCGATTTTATCGATACTTGACAAAACTCAATTTGATATATTTTACTAAAGGTTCAACTAGTCAAATGGAAATTTAACGTGTAATAAAAAGATTCTCAGAATTGTTTAAATGTGAACAACAATAGAAACAAGTTGAGGTTGCTGATTAACGTTTGCAATTTTAATTTCAACAGTCTATTCTGCATCTTCGCCCTACTATGAAACAGCAACACATTTTTGTGTTGCATTTAGAAAAAATTTGATCAATATCCTTCATTATGTAGAGCTGAAGCAGTGTAGTTGGTTTGTTAATGTTGACGTAGAACATTTCATCCGAGTGAATATCGTATCTTACAATCGAATACAGATATAGCATAATCATAGTATTTCCCATTTTTTTATTCTCTTATAACGACTTTGGATTAGTCGAACGATGTAAAACACGTGCGAATAAATGAATGTGTACTCATTCTTACGACAATGTGTTTAATGAACTGTTGATCAGAGTTAGACAACCGAAACAAATAATATCTCTACTCATCAATATACGGGTCGGAAAGCAAGAAAAGTACCATATGAGTCAGAACCAATATTTTCCATACGGTATTATTCGCTTCCAAAATGAACAAAACTAGCATCGATAAAGATAATGCTAATTTTAAACCCAATTTTTAAAAACTTGAATCATTTATTTTAAAATGTCTAAGACATAAAAATGACTGTCTCGTTTTGCATTTTGATGCCTTTTTTAAAATAGTAGTAGTAGTTTGCCATTTTGATGTTCGATAACTATGTAGTTTTTTATTTATAGAATATTTTATTTTATATAATCTCAAAAAGAGACAGTTCGTAAATTTATTTTCCAATAAGAAGCAGTGGCGGAGCAAGAATTTTGTGCTAGGTAGGGCTCAGCCCTATCTGGCCCATCCCTAGCTATAAAACCAAAACATATTTGTATAATAAAATGTATTTTTCCAAAATCTCACCAGATAGGGCTCAAAGCTCCGTAGGTAGGGCTCAGTCCTATCTGGTCCACCCCTGGTTCCGCCACTGATAAGAAGAATAATGCTTTTAGGAAGAGTGAATTGTAGTTTTATCAGATAGGAGACTAAAACAAAAAAGTTTAGTTACATATTTTGATCAATTTTTCTACGATTCAAGAACTATCTTTATCATGAATTTTTTATTTGTCTAATTTACAGCTATTCGATTCCAATTAATTTTTTGTATTTGTTGACTCGACAGACAAACAATATTATCTGCATCAGATAATTAATAACGTGATTTCATTTTAATTTTGTTGGTTTAAATTTTTTCTTTTTATATAATGATTGTAAGAGGTAGAATATCACGTCGGACAATTATTATTATAGTTAAAGAGAGAGAAATAAAGTTTGTATCTATAACTCGAGAATACTTTTTTTTTTCTTATGAAATAACAGGTATATGTGAAAGTAGAGTGTGACATGTGACTATCTCTCTTTCTCTCTTTCCTTTTTCTCTCTTTCTCTCTCTCTCTCTCTCTCATTTTTTTTTGGGGGG